AGCTGATACCAAGGGCTCAAGTAGAAAGAAAATGTTTTGAAAATGATGATGGCAACATATGTACAAATGTGCTTGATACAATTGATGTATGGATTGTTAATAAGAGCTGTAAGAGCCCACAATAAAATGATTTTTTAAAAATATGAACTCTGCCAAAAAAATTAAGAAAAGAAAAAAAGAAAGCTGGAGGGGGAACAAAGGAAGTGTGAGCACGTAATACACTGACCACACCCCAGTTTCACTTCAAACATACTGTAAGATTGTCAGACCAACTTGTGAAGTTTTGTTTCAGGAACTCAGGCTCTCTGACAGGCTGGCGTACTGAGATGGTGACTAGTTCTGAATGAGAAAATTTCATTTCAAGGGAAAGACCCTAAGTATCAACGGCATCCTCAAATGCTGCTGCCCTTAATGAAAAGGGAACTTGGACGGAGAAAAGGCATGCCTTTCCATTTGGCTTCTTTGGCTTTTGCAGCAGTTGGCCTTACTCTGGATTTTTTTCTCACTCTTGCAGCTCGGGTAATCTCATATCAGATTAATTGCAACCACAGTCACTGTGAGCAAATATTTCTCATTATAATCTGATGACTTATATAGCTAACTATCTTTCTTCCCATTTTACAGATGATGAAACTGGGGCTTAGAGAAATACAGTATAAGCAGAAGATGGAGCAGTGATTTCAACCTAGATCTAATTACATGTGTGTCTGGCAATTACCAGTCTCCTAATTGACTGCTTTGTCCATACACGGAGTGCCCCAGTCCAGCCTATACAAAGCCGTCTAGGTTAAGATCTTCACTACTTCTGCTGTCCTTAGGATAATGATGAAACTCCTCAGCTTCATGTTCACTCTCCCAGTAGAAAGCCTAATCTCTGTGCCCTGCCTATCCCCACCTTTCCTGCCTTCCATGACTTTGTTCTAACTGCTCACTCTGCCTGGCGGGAAACGCTGTCCTCTCACAAAGGCTTCTCTGATTCCTTTAGCTGAAGAGCATCTGTTTTTCCCCCTAAATTCTCCCAGCACTTGAATTTGTGCCTCTGTTATGGAGCATAGTACTTCCTGCCATGTGGTATAGTTACTTGTATGTATGACTACTCTCTTCTACGAAGTAAGCTCATTCATGGCAAGATCTGTGCCTGACTTGTTTTCATAAGTTCCCCCCAAATCCTTGGAGTCATCTCTAATTCCTCTTTCTCGTGTTCCAACCTCTAGTCCAGACGATCACCAGTTTTCTCCAACTCTACCAAGATGGCCCTCTTTATCTGGTTTTTGGATGACTTTTCACAGGTCTCCCAGCTTACCCTCTTGCCCCTCTCCAGTCTGTTACCCCGTTGCCAGTTATTTTAATCAAACAAGTCAGATGGCTGTCATTTCTGTGCTCGAATCCTTTCAATGACTCTCCATTTCACTCAAAATAAAAGTCACGGGTTTATAAGGCTTTAAAAAAAAGCTGTAAGGAGACCTGGTGGTATAATAGGTTAAGCATTGGACTGCTAACTGCAAGGTTGGCAGTTCAAATCAACCAGCTGCTCTGGGAAAGAAAGATAAAGTTGCCTGCTTCCTTAAAGATTTAGTCTGCCCAGAACAAAAAAAAAATCATATCAATGGAAATGAGGGGGAGTGCGGAGTGAAGACCCAAAGCCCATCTGTAGAAAATTGGACATCCCTTCACAAGGAAGAGACAAACCAGTCAGGGCACAGTATAGCACCGATGAAACCTACAACTTTCCTCTAGTTCTTTAATGCTTCCCCTGCCCCACTCTCATGACCCCAATTCTACCTTACAAATTCAGCTAGACGAGAGCAAGTACACAGGTACAGAGAAGAGCTGGAAACACAGGGAATTCAGGACAGATAAACCCGTCAGGACCAACAATGAGAGTAGTGATACCAGCAGGGGGCGGGGCAGAGATTGGGGGAGAAAGGAAGAACCTATCACAAGGAAGAGACAAACCAGTCAGGGCACAGTATAGCACCGATGAAACATACAACTTTCCTCTAGTTCTTTAATGCTTCCCCTGCCCCACTCTCATGACCCCAATTCTACCTTACAAATTCGGCTAGACGAGAGCAAGTACACAGGTACAGAGAAGAGCTGGAAACACAGGGAATTCAGGACAGATAAACCCGTCAGGACCAACAATGAGAGTAGCAATACCAGTAGGGTAAGGGGGAAGATGGGGGGAGAAAAGGGGAACTGATCACAATGATCTACATATAACCCCCTCCCAGGGGGATGGACAACAGAAAATTGGGTGAAGGGAGACATCGGTCAGAATAAGACATGAAAAAATAATAATTTATAAGTTTTCAAGGGTTTGTGCGAGAGGGAGGGAAAAAAATGAGGAGCTGATGCCAAGGGCTCAGGTAGAAAATGTTTTGAAAATAATGATGTCAACAAATGTGCTTGGCACAATGGATGGATGGATGGATTGTGATGAGTTGTATGAGCCCCCCATAAAATGATTTTTATAAAAAGATTTAGTCTCAATAAACCAATTGGGCAATTAGTTCTACTGTATCACATAAGGTGGCCATGAGTCAGAGACCACTCAGTGGCAGTGGGTAATAAAGGTTGTAGGTAGCCAGTCATCAAGATGAAGCCAAGTGATTTTCACTCTTTCTTCTTACCCCCTTGGGTAGGTGTCTTCCATGTTGAACCAAGGCTGCCCTGGGTGACCAATAGAACAAAGTGGAAATGATGGTGTGTGACCTACAATGCTAAGTCATAAAAAGTCATTGTTCCTTCTTCCCTGCTTTCTAGGAGTGCTTGCTCTGGAGGAAATCCGTTGTTAAGTCAGGAGGATACTCAAAAAGTGAG